GAAACATCAAACAAGCATTCACCGCAACCCTTTCGTATATAAATATATAGTAGACCAGTTGTAGGAGAACAATGCCATGACATGCATTAGAAGGAATTGGACGAGATTCCTAACAACAGCCATAGAAAGACACCTATTTGAACATACTCTGATATTTCTGAAACCCTTCCCAAAAATCACAATTTGACGTATAAAATCAATACTGATGGCTCTAGACGCACGCTCACGATCACGCCGTCGGGAATCCGTCATTCATCATCGTCGGAACTTTCACTCAGATTCAAACCAAGATCTCGATGATCTGTTTTTGCGGTGTGCCTGAATTACCGCGTGCAAAACTCTTCTAACCTCTCAAACAGCAAAAGTATCAACCTACCTTGAACCAAAGCTATTTTGCAGAGAAGTATTGACAGGTGGTGGTTGCGAAATGGAGTCGAGCGATGGCATATCAATGCTTTCTACGGAAAATGTTGTGGAAGGAGCAGCTGACGTCTTCATGCTTTCGAGAAGATGGCCTAAATCGTAAGTTGAAGTAATGATTGATTGTGAGGTGACAGCAATTTGCCCTATTGTTGGTTACTATAAGTAAACTCGTTCCACCCTTTCCGAAACTGCACTCGCCTAAGCACGTTGCATTATTATTCCACATTTCCTGTGTCAAACCTGAAGCGACACCCCCAGGAGAAGTGTACAGAGGAATCTATTCTGTGGGTGGAAAAGTGTAGCGCACAAGTATGCCATTGTTGTTGAAAATGTGCGATGTTTTGAGAAATCAGCTTTTTACGACTAATCCTTAGCATTTAAACGGTTGCGTTGCGCACATCCCATAACACGTAATGCAGATTACGGCGTATCGGCTAATGCAAATATTCGCCGGTTATTGAGCCGGCAAGTTCGTGCAACTTGTCTGACCCCGCCCCTCCTTATTTCAAGGAAAATCCTTGTTTAGGACTTCATCGACAATTTTGTCTTTTTTCTTTTCTTTTTTCAATTCTAGTCAACTCGGCATCCACAACTCCATTACTGGCCGCTGTGACCCCACAAATATCTGTGGGTGCGGCTTTAATATCGTTGAACATTTTGTTCTTATTACGCACATTTTCATATTGCTAACAACGAAGCCGCATTGGAAATGCAATATTTGCGAGGAAACTCAAGTATTCTTCTCGGAAAGAAAAGTGAAAACATTTCGAAAACGTACTTTCAACATCACTGTCAGCCATACTTGAGTTCGAATCATGACGATTCTTGCCTCGATCCTGGAACATGAATGTTGTAGCAATATTGAAACCAATCTGATTTATTTTAAAAGTTAACCCACAACACTCATTAAACATCTCTAGGACAGTTTCATACATCACAACGCTGGTGGGTCCACTACGGCTCATTGAAATACGTCCGAAAGATGAAAACAGAAGTGTATTGCGAAAGACTCAAGTTGATAACTATAGCATCATTTCCGCGTCAATTACGTCACCACGTGGCTGCACTGAATCTCAGCCTATTTAGTGCAGTGCGCAAGTCCTTCCCAAACAGTCTAACCTCAGATGTACCGCACCAACATTCAGAAGAGAGCATCACTACAGGAAGGACTTAAAATAGGTTAACAAAGTATTAGGATGGAACATAATATCGTAGCGTTAATCGTTTTATGAATTCAGTGACTCAAGCATTACCCGGAAAATCGCGCATACCATTTGAAAATGCTTTTTATGCTCGACAAAACCTCAGTTTTCATTTCAAATTTTTATCTGTACTCAAATGTAGCGCTTAGACTTGCAAAGCTCAGACTGTAGGAATCAGCTTTTCGACAGCTGCTATTCTTCGGTTTACTCAAAGAGAAGAAAAAACCGAAAAAGAAGTTCTTTAGAATCAATCTTTCTTACCGAATATTAATCTAACCGACCTTACCATAACTAACTTTGCACTCAACGTGAAGCCATATCTATGTCGTACGAAATTGATAACTACTTCGCAAACAAGCTCGATATCGTTTTTTGAATTTTCAGTGAATTCCTGCGAAATGGGATCCAAGTCATTAAAATGACAAGGTGGATATCACTGGTTTGTTTTATGTTTTCATTTTTTCTCGAACGTTTGTGTGTAAAATGAAAAATGCAACCGCGACGATACTATTATATGTTCCGCCCCAATGGCCGATGTCAGACTCTGCGATTGG